GTGGTACCAACAGCACCCTCTTTTGGGACACTTGTGCACTGCTTTACATTTACAATGTATGAAAGCTGTTGTCTTTCTCATGCTTACAGTTAACTGATGCCTTAAGTAAAACAAGGGCTTTTCTTTTTTCAGAAGTTACCTTCATCTATACTTGATGGGTTTTGCTTACTCATCTGTCTTCCAATTGATGCAACACTATGAGGTCTTAGAACCATTCATCTAGTCGAAAGGATGAATGGTGGTTTTCTCTGTTATTTTTGTTTGTTTTATTTTGGGATTTAATTTCAATGTAACTGAGTAAAATACAATTACTCAAAACCAATTCAAATAAAAGTAAAAGTTTAGGTTTTGTCCATATAGGCAGGCTATTGGGACAGTATGCCTCTGCATATCAACTTCAATATCCAAAATTGCGGACTAGTTGCTTCCCCTCTACCCTGAGAAGAAAACATGTTTTAAAATCATGATGATATGTCTAAAGAAACTAAGGACCAAATACCTTTCCATTCCACTTCCACAAAAAGTTTTATGATATTAACGATTTAATTTTCTGCTTAAGTTTTTATTCACAAATGCCGCTTTCTAAAAAAATACCTCCTTTTTTAATGTGAAATAATTTTATTTAAGAAAGAACTTAAATGTCGCAACATCACAAAAGCTACGTCTTTATACCAATACGTTGATAGCTTAATTGAAGATTTGAAGCTCCTCTTGCACTTATAACATCTTCTATTTTACCTTCTTCACAGTTAGTCGGACTATTCTTTTTGGGTTCTTTTTTCTGCTCAGTTTATTTTGTCAAACATTTTTGTTACTTATGTGTGACTTGGACTATTTTCTTTGAATTTTCAACAAAGACGAAAAAAAACAACAAAACATTGCCATAATTCCGCCAAACGTCACGTGCAGCGATCAAACGCTTCAAAAAGAACGCGCATTTGACGGACACAGCAGAAGGATGCGTCCTCGATAAAATGGGAGGAGCAAGAACACATCCGGGTACTTTGAGCGTTCTTGCCTTGATGCGTACTTAGAAATGGGCCACTGTAATTCCCGTGTGTGTTTTTCTAATTTCGTTTAAAAACGAAAAAACAAAAAACACATGCTTGTTTTGTTTTTGCAATTTTATTTTGAAACGAAAAAACCAAAGAACGAACCATACATGGATTATTCACTGTCCATGACATTTCACAAATACCCAAGAACAGACAACTACGCATATTGAGAAACGGCCAAGAGCGAAACAAGGGTGCAAGTGCGAGTATTCGGACAGGGCCAGTATCTGATGGGAAAACGTAACACCTGTTTTAAAGTTTTAACTTCTGAAATCTAGTGGTGCGGAAATCTGTCAAAGACCCACCGAATTTTAACATTGCTTAACCTCACTTCTCAAGCCACCAGATAAAGATGTTGCTGATATAATCCAGTTAGGGGAAAAAATACCACTACCTCTAGCGGACAGTGTCAGAATAGCTGCCACCTTTCTTTGAATCAGTCAGCGGTAATTGGTGAACCTCTGAGAAAGGTATGTTTTGTTGCATTGAGTAAGCTGTAAATAACCCGACGAACAACAGAGAATGTAATTTTACCGATGTTAAAATGTGCTTTACAAGACATTAGCTGGTGTATTAAGGATGTATAAACTTATTTTTATTGTAAATTAGAGAAACCCCATTTGCTTACGTCAGCTAGCTTAGCTAACAAGTAAAGCTAGCTGACAAGTTGGGCACGGTTAGATTGTGGCTTTTATTCCGTCCCAGATAAACTCTTTAACATTTGCTGCTTATGTTTTCTTGTTTCTCAGCTTCCAGTTCTTTCACAAAATGCTGGAAATATCTATTCTGAAGGTAAGAAGCATTCTGCCACGACACTGAAGTATTGAAGTTGGCGTCCGATACGCAGCTGTCGTGTATATATATATATATATATATATATATATATATATATATATATATATATATGTGTGTGTGTGTATATATATATATCTCTTTAGCTCACAAAATATATTT